GTAAATCCCTGTTCAACATGAGTCTGACAACTAAGTAAGTAGATAAAAAACTTTAGTTTGAGAGTTGTATATTTTAGCATTGATTAAAGATGTTTGTGGGCTAAAGTCCGATCCCGCATTAGCATTAGCATTAGCATCTGTAACCCACAGGTCTGTGTCCTAACCATTAAGTTCTTATCAGAATAAATCCCTGTTCAACATGAGTCTGACAACTAAGTAAGTAGATAAATAACAGGGACATCCCTAAATAAAATACTACACGATGTCGCTTTAAAAAGTGGAAGTGAGGCTTCTGACTTTATTTACACACCTGGGATGAAAAGTAGTTATAAAAAAAACAACAAAGAGAGAGTTACGGACTTACCGAAGCTGGAAAAAAGCTCCGGGTGCTTCAGCGGGAGCTCGATTGTTTCTCTGATGGCGTCCAACTGACTGCTGAGCCCCCCGATCATGCTGTAGGTGACCTTTGACCCCTGGGCCTCCGGGTCAGGGCCTCCGTGGCCGGTTCGGCTCCTCAGGCGGACTCTGGTGGAGCAGGAGAGGCTGTAGAAGGTGCAGCTGCTCGTGAAACCACCGGGGGGCGCTGTGGGAACCTTCTCTGAGTCCTCCAGAGGGATATCTGTCCTTTCGGAGTCCTCCAGGCCACCGGGGGGCGCTGTGGGTTCTCTTTTTGAGCCCTCCAGAGAAAAATCTGTCTCCTTTGAGACCTCCAGAGGGATGGTTTTCCCCTCCAGGCCACTGGGGGGCGCTGTGGGCCCACTTTTTGAGTCCTCCAGAGGGAAAGCTATCCCCTCTGAGTCCTCCAGAGAAAAATCTGTCCCCTCCAGGCCACTGGGGGGCGCTGTTTGCCCACTTTCTGAGTCCTCCAGAGGGAAAACTGTCTCCTTTGAGCCCTCCAGGCCACCAGGGGGCGCTGCAAGCCCCCTTTTTGAGTCCTCCAGAGGGAAATGTCTTCCCTCTGAGCCCTCCAGGCCACCGGGGGGCGCTGTTTTCTCTCTTTCTGAGCCCTCCAGAGGGAAAACTGTCCAATTTGAGCCAGCTTTGGGGGGACCAGGGAGACCAGGGGTGCTGTGGGACCCAGGGGTGGAGGATGAGGGGGTATAGGGAGCATTGGGGGGGGAGGAGTGGGTGGAGGGGCCGGGGGGGGGGGGGGGGGGGGGGGGGGGGGGCGGGGCGGCCATTACGGCGCCGTCCTCCCCCCTCAGCGCCTCGACACGCAGACTGCAGCTCCGCCCGAAGTAGCTCAGAGTCAGGAGGCTCCCCGGGAGCACGATGTTCCCGTCTGGAACAGGGAGGGAAAAGAAATGACTCAGGAAAAAAAACAGAGAATCTGCCAAAAAGCAGCATTTTTTATTTAAATTTTAACTTATTTTATTGTATTTTATTTTCATTCTATTTTATTGCATTGTGTTTGTGTATTTTAGCTTTTTAGTTTTGATCTGTACAGCATTTAAATCAACCGGGGGTCGACCCCAGTGGATTTAAATGTGCTTTATAAATAAAGTTTGAGTTGAGTTGAGAAATAAACTTAAAGGTAAATCAAAACACAGCATTTATGGAGAAATATGAAAAGAATGAATAATGCATAACACATGAATAGCATTCATTATTTAAAAATATGTTCAAAGGCCTTTAATAGCGTAAAAATACATAAAAAGGAAAAAAAAAGGACTGAGACCACCGTTTTGTTAGACAAAGTGAACTTACCCAGAGACCTCAAGAAGAAGTTCCTGAACTCATCTGTGTCCAGAGATTCATCTGTTGACCTGAGTAGAGGTTACAGGCACTTTAGTAACAAAGAAAGTTCAAATAAAGTAAAAAGTAAGTAAAAAAAATAGTTTACAGCTGAGCTGCAGTTACATAACACGGCCAGCAGATGGCAGCATTTACTTCAAATGCGACTAAAAAGGTTTGTATTTTGAGTCTGTTAAAGACATTTGTAGTATTTTGTGGAGTTGATTGCATTAAAAAACTTCCCGTTTCCACAGCAGGATTAAGATGGAAGCGATTTTTGTGCCACTTTACAATAAAAAACTTGTGATGTTGATGATGATCAGATCATTGACATTATCACCACCACTTTTTATACCTATATAAATACATATAGTTTTTTATGCATATATCTAGCTATACTATATTAGGAATTTTGTATATATATATATTTGTATATATGTACAGACATGTATATATGTATATGCCTTTGTTTTACTTATGGAGCCTGTAACAAACATAATTTCCCTCTGGGATTATTAAAGTATTTCTGATTCTGATTTTCTTTGTCTCTCAATAGTTTGGAAATACGCTTAAATCTTTTCCTGTATTGATTGGAAGCAAAATATCTTCTGTAGGATTATTATTATTGTTGAGTTAAATGATCCTGAGAAGAAAACTACAAAAAACTCTGCTCACTTTAATCTGCTGGAAAATGTATCAGAGCAATCAGGGGATTTTTTTTAATGCCTTGATCTAGAAAAAACTCCCAGTTAAAGGCAATTCATACCAAGCGGCAACTCAATGTGCTTTACATTAAGACAAGACATTTCAAATAAAAAAGAACAGCATAAAACAGGATAAGAAAAAAATAATAATGAAAAAATATATTAAAAAAGGAGGTGTGCTGGTTTTAAAGATAATGTAATTAAAAAAGGCTGAGTAACTTGACCTGTTGAAGAGAAGGACCTCCTCGGCCTTGAGAACTGGACCCGTGATGGGCTGCAGGGTGACCGTTTCCCCCGGTTTAACTCTCAGGTTTTTCTGGGCACATTTCTGAAGGCCAACTTTCCCACCGGGGAACGAAGCCACGGGCCAGCCCAAACACACCTGTGGGACAGGTAAGGGGGGTTAGGGTTAGGGTTATTATAAAATAAATAAATAAATAAATAATGATTAAATAATTACATAATAAATTCATAATAATAATTAAATAATAAAATAATAATTAAATAATAAAATAATAATAAAATAATAATAAAATAATAATACAATAATAATAATAAAATAATTAAATAATTAAACAATAAAATAATAAATTAACAATAATAGTTCAATAATAAAATTATAATTAAATAATTAAATAATAATTAAACAATAAAATAATAAATTAATTATAATACAATGATAATTAAATTACTACTTCAATTAAATAATTTCCCTCGGGGATTATTAAAATATTTTTTTATTCTGATTCTGATAGTTGTAAACCTGAGAACAAACCAGAGTAGATAAAGAGCCCGATTCTTCAGAATAA